TTTTTTTTTTTTTTTTTTTAAGAAAAAACGGTGCAGATAACTGGATGGTTTCATCTTTTCTAAAGATATGGCTGCCAGGTGACCCTGAATCCTCCCTTAGTTATGCTGCAATAGACGTAGGCTGCCGGGGGATTCCCATGATGCATTGAGTTTTTCCTTTCCAGTCACCTTTCTCACTCACTATGTGTTAACAGACCTCTCTGCATTGAATCATATCTGTTATTAACCTCTGTCTCTCTTCCACAGCATGTCTTTTCCTGTCTTCCTTCTCTCACCCCAACCGGTCGCAGCAGATGGCCCCGCCCCTCCCTGAGCCTGGTTCTGCTGGAGGTTTCTTCCTGTTAAAAGGGAGTTTTTCCTTCCCACTGTCGCCAAAGTGCTTGCTCATAGGGGGTCATATGATTGTTGGGTTTTTCTCTGTATCTATGAAGCACCTTGAGGCAACTTTTGTTGTGATTTGGCGCTATATAAATAAAATTGAATAGCTAGGTTTCATTTGACGTAGACGTGACGTCGACGTAAAGCGCGAAATTTGACTGGCGGTCGGAAGTGAAAAAGATAAGCGCAAAATCACAGACAGACAGTACGCAAAATGCCTATGTCCTGTTGTGTTTACGGATGCTCCAGTAGGTCGACCCGAGAAACTGATAAACGGTATTTTAGGGTACCAAAAATAGCCCAACGAAGAGGAGAAAAATGGAAAATTCTAACCGAAAAACGTAGGAAAAATGGATTTTAAATTTACGTTTACAGTCGGGAGGAGCAGAGTCTGCCAATGCCCGTGTCTGCAGCGACCACTTCGTCAGAGGTAATGTTATGTTTGCAAACGAACTTATTAGCATTAGGTTGTCGTTAAATTCTCGTTTACTTAGTGCTTTTAAGTTAGTAGTCTAATATTGACTTGATTGGGACTATAGGCTGCCCAAGTGCTTTGGATGACGAAGAGTCGGAGGACTGGGCTCCGACGGTCAATCTCGGCTACGAACGAAAACCCAGATCGGAATCAGTTCTCAAACGAGAACCTACTTAATTAGGCTACTAACCCTGCCATACAATTGCAATGAGCTGCAATCACTTCTCCATCCTCCTTTGCAATTACCCAAGTCTTCAGAGGTGTCTCGTTAGACCTCTGAGAATGGTTTACCTTGAAACAAACAACTGTCACTCTAACGAAGTCCTAAGGATGTGGCATGTTTGTTGACGTTAAAGCCGCTACCGCTAACTGTTAGCGTGTTTAAGATAAAGCAATATAAGAACAAACACTCACCCTTGCAAACACCAAACTGTATCCATCACGGAGACGTTTTGTTCCAAGGTTGTGGACCCACCCGCTGACAAAAAAATTGTACGCCTCCAGACTCTTGAAAGCTTTCATTTGCTGCCTAGTGTAGTAAGAAGTCTGGAGGACCAAGTAGTTGGTGATATCCACAGCCTCGATAGTAGGCAAATCCTTTACTTCTGTGGTGTATTCGGACATTTTCAAAGAATACGGATCACGTCCGATATATTTTTTAACTATCTGTTTATATCTCTCCCGAGAAACGGGGTCTAAAGTTGCACAATAGCTGCTCTCCTGACTCTCCACAGTGTCCTCCATGTTTACTTCCGCCCTCCACTCAAAAATCGCGCTGCCTCCGCACGTCATCAGAACCACGTGACCGCAACCCAACTATTGAATTGAATTGAATATTATTTGCCGATTAGTCTCTAATTATGTGTCATGTCTATCAAAAGTGCAACACGTTTTTCACTGGACTCTATGCAGTCTGTTTCCACACTAATTAAGAAGGTAAAGTAGCAACCAGGTGCTGGTAATCACCTTTAGATGATCAGAAGTTTCTGATATGTAATAATTACGTGTGTGTGTTTTATCACAGTGCCCAGGAGGAAAGACAAAAGCAATGAATCCTGGTAGAGTTAAGGCCCTTTCAATAAAAAAAGCAGATAAATAAATAAAATGAAGACATCTTTCATTCTACAGTGAGGAAGATTATTCACAAGTGGAAAACATTCAAGACAGCTTCCCAGGAGTGGACACCAAGGCAAACTCACCTCGAGGTCAGACTGTGCAATGCTCAGAGAAATTGGAAAGAAAAAAAACACTACATCTCTCGCTCTACAGACCTCAGATTCAGAGGGCCAGGAGTCAGACTGCTAGTGGCTGTAAGGCTATTTTTCTCAAATTTTTATGTCTTGATGATGACCAGAAAGTTGAATTGTCACATTAATAGATATAATGCAGCTCGATTACTGAAGCTCTGCATAAACTGGCAAACAAACAGATAGATGAAGAGGCCTTGTACAGAATATGAAGTAAGCAGAAGTGCTGGGTATCTTACCTGTGGAAAAACCTGTCTTCTTGTGACACTTAGTAAATTCAATGTTAAAGTAAGTGACCAGTGCGTGGATGTAGTCATTCCTCTGGATCTGCAGGCAAAAAGATGATGTGAAGGACAGGTCCTCAGGTTTTACTGTGTAGATGTCCACTTCCTGTAAAAGTAAAAAAAAAATTTTTTACATAAAAAAATGACAAGTTTCTTATGTGAGTCATTACATTAAGTTCTCCCTTTCACTGTGATTCAAAGAAAAGTCTCAGAAGTGTGCTTTTAGAAATGTATATGAATTCTTTAATAGAGCGCTTTGCTCTTACCTTCACCGGACCTTTTATTTATTCACACAACAGAAATTAAACCTACCAGTTTTAAAAGGCTGTAAAATAAATCTGCAATACAGCGAGGAAAAAACGACCAACATTAAGATGGACCCTACAGGAAAGCTTCCACTTGGGTGGCTGTAGCTCAGGAGGTAGAGCAGGTCACCTACTGATCAGAAGGTCGGTGGTTCGATCCCTGGCATCCCATGTCAAGTATCCTTGGGCAAGATACTAACCCCCGACTTGCTCTCCAATGCATCCATATGACTGTGTGAGATTAGGTGAATGAGGCATGTTGTATAGAGCGCTTTGAGTGCTCCGTGAGAGTAGAAAAGCGCTATATAAGAATCAGTCCATTTACCTCCACAAGTAG